ACCGAATCTGATATCAAATATCTTAACACATTTCTCCTAGCTTCCCTCATTTTTTAACATATCAAATAACGTAAATGCATGCTTCAAGGTTGCTCGAGAGAACCGTGAGAATTTTTCCTCGAGGAATCTATCTCGCGGAGAGAAACTCGGCCCGCCTCGGGGACGCGACGCACTCTGTAATCACGCGTTGATTATAATTTTTTATTTGTATTTTTATTTTTATTATCTCGATATTGTGCCGAGTGTATAATAGGATTACCGATCTATCCAGCGTAAATATTAATTACCCAGAATGCGCCACGGCGATGTAAGTGGCGGCCATAAATTGCCCGGCAGCACCTCCCTCTTACCGCGCATATAAATCCTCGTCGTCGTAGAACGACGGCAGAGAAGAGGAGAAGAGGTGAGATCTCCCTTCATGGCGTATGTCCCAGGTGGTCCACAATGTCAGTGGAAATATAACGCAACCTGGCAACCGTTTACGACAATTATGGCCAATAGCGAATTACCAAGTCACGCAAATAGCTAAACGTTCTCGACATAAAATGATTCATATTGAAAATTCGTGCAGAATAGTTATATCAGTAAATTATAATCATTGTAATTATCATAATGGTGATAATATTAATTTTGAAAGATCTTAAAGCTTAACTGTCACCAAATTTTAATCAATCTTATTATTTAAAAAACGAACAGATAATTTTTAATGTCCGATAAATTTTAATTTTACAAATGGAAAAAAATATTCTTACAGATTGAATCGTTAATCATTTTATTATATCGTCAATATACCAAAATTCTATATATGATTTAAATGCGCGTGCAATATTTACGAGCGATTAAAATTTGATCGACTGATTTGATAAATGAATCCAATTGAAATCTAATCTTAGTGTTCTGCTATAAATATGATGAGGTCATACTGTGTTTGCGATTAGTGAGAATCGAAAATTCTGTAAAAATTCTTCGTAAAAATTCTAGCAGCGCAAATGATCGCGGACGAGTAGCCACGAATGAACTGCATCTTTCGGCGCCGCTTCGATGCCGCTGCAAATTTTATCGCACATTATTCGCGAGGTCAGCCCGATCAAGATCATCCTTCCTGCCGTTAACTAACATTTTACGACGGCTTATAATTGTCGATTACAAAGTGGCGGCTATTGAGGTTTTATGTAATTTTTCGAAGAGCCGGCACATTTATACGCCAAGAGGAATCATTTTCAGTTTAACGACGGGCGGAGCAGTAGTAAAAAGCTAATTGCTGAATAACTGAAATGATGCGCGTATACATGTTTAAAATGTTAAGGAAGAGAGTGGCGAATAAAGATGCGGAGAAGAGTAAGAATTTTAATACTTTTCACAAATTTTATAATTTTTAAGGAAATTAAAGATATTAAATATGTATTTATCTTAAGCGATTTAAACTACAACGAATTACGATAGCTTTAATTCTTATATATCTTCTTTGTAAAATATAAGAGAGAACTTTTCAGTAACTATACATATATATATATATATATTTGTGTGTGTGCATAATACAATCATTTCAAGTAATCAATTTTTTTTAATGAAGAGTGAATTATTCTGTCTATTTTAATTTCTCTCTTAGCTCTTAATATTAAAGGTATCTGTAATATTCTCTCGCGAAATTTAATATGATCCATCAATATAATATCGCATTTATATAATTCAGTTTAATTTAATTGTATTAATTGATCTTATCGTTATATTTGATGCTCTTTTTCCATTCATTGTCAATCATTTGTCAATAATTCCGGACAATATTTTAACTAAAATAATATATTATTTTAAAATTATTAATGTCTATATTAAGACATCTAAATTTTTAAATATTTTTAATATATTTTATAGTCATATATTATCAAAAACTAATCTCATGATAAATACAGTATCACTATATTCATCCCATCGCAATTATTTCTAAAGATGCGCATTTACAATGCAGGAACTCGATTCAACGTAAGCGTTGCTAATTCTCCGCCACTCGATTCGTATCCACCACGACTCCGCGATTCTTGAAAATGCAGTTAAGAACGGTATCAAATCTACAACATCCTAACTATCTACCTACTTTTGAGAGCACATAAAGCCTCTTTTGAGTCCCGGCGGTACAACGCGAACGATTCTGACTTATCTGTCGTTTGGGTTACTGCGGTTCTTCCCCACACCCGCCTGTATGCGTGCGTATACGTGTGCGTGCACATATGCCTATAACAGCAAAGGGAGTAGAAGGAAAGGGAGGCAGAATGAAGGTAGAATACTGGAAACGCAACTACGATAGCTGCATGGATTAGGTGCACTGAGGTGTATGATAATCGCACAGGAATAGAGAGGACACGTCGTCTCTCTCCAACCCCGATCTTCATCGTTTCTCCTCCTGAACCTCCTCCTTCTCCCGTGTGTCTCAGCCGCGACCCCTCTTGAACACGTCGCTCTGAAATTGCTCTCGAGATTCCGTCGCTCGTTAATGCTCGCATGCATTCTGTTCATCGTTACATTCTAAACCTATCGGGCGCTAGCCAGCCCTTTCTTCCTCTCTTCCTTTCACTTCATCTTCCTTCGTTTACGCGATGTATTCATCAGACATCAACATACCGCGCTTTGCTTTGACTAAGAATATCTCTAAATATGCAGGTGGCAGTGCTTAGAAAATCCCCCAAAAATTTTATTTTTATAGTTATATTTTTTAAATATTTTAAATATATGCAGAGTTAACAAATAATAAACTTTAAGACTTCTGAGCAATATATTTTGTTTTTCTTTTCTGGTAAACGATTTTTAAGATAATTATACGTGAGAAGCTGAAGCCACCTGTCTCCTTAAAGATTAATAAATTGTAATGTATCGAGAAGTATTCACAAAAATTAATGAAAAAACTGTTTTGTTATTTGTATGATTGAAATTTTTGTAATCGTTCTTCGATAAAATAATCGTAAAAAGAATTACGTTTATATTTTTGTAATGTAATCTCAAAAACTTTCATGTTTCTCATTTAAATATTAAATCTAAGTTTTGTAACCATACCGTGAACAACGTCGCAGATATTCTTTTAATAATATTTTTTTTTGTTTTCTCACTGAAAAACCTTGGATTTATGAACAGAAAATGACGCCCCTCGCGTATTGGGCCGCGCCGGCTGGCGTACCTCAGCAATGCGGGTTTTTCTTCAACTTCCGCGATCAGTTACACGTCGTCGGAGATTGCAGCTGGGCTCGCACAGTCGGGCTAATATGCGAGAGAGGAAATGGTCCCGAGAGAAATTTGTAGGCACTGCTGTCGACGTCTGAACAGATTTCTTTTCGACAGAGTACCCAAACCCTCAAAAGTCATTCTCGTAACTTTCACTTTCACGCGTATGCCTCATGAAAGTGACGATGGACTGACAAAAAATACAAAACCGAAATTATAAGAATGTACGAAGACACGTATACACAAATTGGACAGTTTAGAAATTCTGTATGTCCAAAAATTGTCAACGAAACGATAAAACGATCATCAAATCGACGCACATATTATTTTTGGAGCGTAAAGAGATATTCCCAGGACGACATACGTATTTAAAATCATAAGACGTCTGATGATTTTAGATTTTGTGGTGTATAGTTATTTATCACTCCAAGAAAATACGTTTTATGTATAAGTTCACGTCAAAAATACTTTAAATTAATTGTAAATATAAATATTAAGGTTCAGAACATTTGTTAATCACTCAAGCTATTTGAACACATATTAAAGTGTCAGTATATACACGGAAGGAACGATTTTGCTAAAGTATCCAAAAATTTAGCTAGATACAAATTTAAAAATAATTTTGTCGGACCATCAAAATAATTACGTAAGAATCTCAAACATGATGAACAATGCTGCAAAAAGTTTTGATCTTCTAGCAACCAGTTCCAAGTGTTCAACATAATTATTTTGATGGTCCAACAAAATTATTTTCAGATCTGTACCTAGTTAAATTTTTTAGAAATATACCGTTTAGCAAAACCATTCTTTTCATATATAAGAAAGAAGATATTTTAAATGTATTGTAGACTATAATGTGACATTTTCTCACAATTTATGTCAAAGATATTGACTAAGTACTTAAAAAATGTAAGATTCTTGCTATAGAAGAATTACTAAAAAGCTTGCAACATGGCAATCATATACACACACTCGTACATACACATATACATACACGTCGACGAAATCTCCTAAATCAATTAACACGAGAACGGTTTAATTCTACGAGCGTGCTACGGTATGTTCCTGGACTTAACATGCCGGCCGAAACCTCCCATCTATCTCACAGGGTTTTCCAAGGTTTACGGCAACAACGATCTTCCACCCCCTGCGCATACACGTCATGGCCACTTCCACCCTCGTTATTAACCTCTTCGAGGCAACTTTCATCCTCTGTTTAAAATTTGTAGGAGAACATACACGCTAGAGTCCATGATAAACTCACATAATTAAGTTTCTAAAAAATGCGACTGAAATAATAGACGATCAAAGACAATGAATTCGAATAGAGTCTTTTATCAGATAAATAATTCACCTAATTAATAATACACTGACCACTAACGCAAAATAATTTCGTGCTCGTGCACAGGCATGTTTTTCTTTCCTTCTGCAGTGAAACATAAAATTTATGTCTTTTGATTTCTAGCAAGTGACAACTCCTTATAACTCAATTAACGCCTTACATGCTCGTATTATACACATATATGTACGTACTTTGACGTTTACTTTCAAACAAGGAATCTTTTGAGAAACATTCCGTTTGCCATTACAATTTCCCGAAGCAAAGCCAGCCAGCCAGCCAGCCAGCCAACGGTTGTAGTCACCGATGTGACAATTTAAAATGTGCTCGCTGCAAAGTTAAAGAGAACACGCGAAAGGCGGCGGGATGCAAAACTGGCTTCTGCCTGCGGCGCGGCGAGTCGCGACTTCGCGAGAGACTCTACGAGACGTGCCTACTTTCTCGCACTCACCTATATTTCGTGCGACGACGGCGCAGCCGTTGGTTAAGAACCACGCAAGTAGCAGACTGCCGAGGATCGGAGCTCCTCCTTTCCGTCGACCCTTGCGGCACTCCATCGTGAGGTTCCGAGCTCCGACTACGCCTGAAAGCAGAGAAAGAAACGATCACGCTCTGTGCATTGGGGCGTGCTGCTTCGCCGATGGCTCTTGCACTTCGCGCCAACTATGTGTGTACGCTCACCCCGGAATGCATCGCGATTTCCGAGAACACATACGTTCGGTATGCCAAGATTGGACGCCGCCACGTTATTATTGCATTTACGTAAATCGTACACTTTATCAGGTGACCATCCTTACGTTCTCTATCTTGTTTGTTCTTTTTTTTTTGTACAGAGACGCGACTTACGGTCGCGATTACGTAGAAATCGCGATTCAGGCCATGATATCATACATACTGCGCACGTCATAAACTAGATTAAAGTATAGATAGATATGGTGAATAGATATAAGTATTCGGTATACTGAATTAAGAAAACTTGCATGTTGTGTATGAAACAGATTATTTCTCGGCATAATTTTTCTTATCTTTCTAAAAAGATTTAAAATTGCATAGAAAGAACGGTTTTGTTGAAATATCTAAAAATTAGCTAGCTATAGATTTGAAAATAATTATACTAATCAAAATAATTATGTAAAACACTCAAGCATGATAATGCTTTAAAAAGTTTTGACAATTAGCTTGGGCGTTTAATATAATTATTTTGATGGACCAATAAAATTATTTTCAAATCGATATCTATTTAAAAAACAGTGTTAAGATACAATTTTCAGATATTATAATCACAATCGTATTATATAGCATCTTAAAGATGTCCGTTTTAACGATTACTTTTCAAATAAGTATTTTTTAGCTGCTTTTATACAGATTAAAAAATCGTTTTTTCCACAATTAAAGTATAAACGATAATGTAGTCTAAATTAATTGATTTATGCCAAAAACGAAAAAAAGTTGGAAAATTACAGTTTTATTAATCTCGACTTGTAACAATATTTGCTTTACATACAAGTTTTATACTTCGTACATATAAAACAATCTTGATTTTGGACACAGATTATATGAACAAACAATATTGAGTTTTTAGAATTAGGTTTAGATACTTAATATGAAAGTAAATAACTAGTTAGACAATTTGTACGTATGTGTACGTACAAATATTGATGCAATAGTGTATGATGTGTCAACGTACATCGTGTGTATGTAAGTTCTACTAAATCGATAAAACATACGACTTCAGGAACCCCTGAAGACATTATTGAAGACAATTTTAAAATAAAAGCCTACTCTAAATACGATCCTTAGACACTTCAACAAAATCGTTCTTTCTGTAGGTTCTTCTTCAGGTTTAAATTATTGTATTAATAGATTCAAATAACTTTATTGATTGCCTCATATTTCAAGTACGTTCCGTTTTGCGTTTATAATCATCATTTGTAATCATCATTTGTCCTTGTTTAATATGTAATAGACAACAAAGATGAATTGATGCTTACAGCGTGTAAATATGAAAACGGAATGCACTCATTATTTTTTAAACGTAACGCGTATGGCATATGGTTATGGATCGCAGTTCACCACCCTAATTCATCTTGTTCCACCCATTGCACAATGCACACTGTTTTTATTCAATAGAATCGCGCCGTGTTCGCGGGGTCTGCAAATTTCGAAACGCTGACACCAAAATTGTTTTCCTTTTTCGCCTTCGTTAACCTACATTCACGCAAACGCACACATATTCCCAACCCCTTCGCTTCACTAGACGCGCGGATTAAGCTGATTTATAGTGTTTACCGGTGATGCTCGCTCGATTTTGCAGCGTCGCGCGTGCGCCTCGTCGACCTATTAGTTTGTCGAGAAAAAAAAAAATGCCATGCAGAATTGCGAGGAAAAAGAATGTGAGAGTCGCGTCGGGTCGCCGCCGAAGGGGGTAGCAGGTGACTCGTGTGGATTACGCGCGGAAGTGTGCATTTTCGCTGGCGTCGCGAATGTTAAATCTTAAGTAAAATACGTATTATTTACGGTAGAATAGAACTGACGGAAAAGAGATGAAAAATAACACATTTATACAAAAGAGCGAATAAATAATAGGGTAGAACGGATCTTTTCCATCTATTTTTCATGATAATGTTTGTTTCTGAACAACATATACTGAACATTTAAAGGTCACTGCAAAAAGATGTTGTTTGTTGTAAACATTATATCACTTTAAAGGTTGAAAGCGACGGAATAGTTCAGCTCTACTCTAATCGTATATCAAATGCTTTTTATTTAAAAAATATTGTAAATGCAAGAAAATTCAAGGTACAATAAATTTTAAGTACATATCGATACCTTTAATCGACCGAGAATCAAAATCGTCTGATCTTTGAGAAAAAAAAATCTAGAGGTAGATAATTTTATCTTCTAAAAAATATTATAAAATTGATAGAATTATAATGCTTCATCAATTAATGTTTAGAATAGTTATTTAAACTACTCATTAATATAAATATTATCAATGATATCATTAATTGCCCTCTCTTTGTTTTAATTCTGGAATGTGTAAACGTTTTTTCACGCAGCACTTTGTAGATCGAACACATTGAAAAAAAAATTCAGTAATATACGTTTCAATATACATTTTAAATCTCAAATATATTGTGTGTGAGGTTTCATAAAAAATTCCCATCAAAATCTTTCGGAAAACTTCTAATTTGAAGGGTAAGTATATCGCGAGCCAACGAGCAGTCGTCTCGATTATGACCGAGGAAGGAAGTTCATCGAGCCGCAAACCACCACGTGCATCACGGCGGACCACTTCACAGATTGCATCGGCTGGATTGCAGCGGTGCATTTCCGCGGACGTGGAAGAACAGCGACACGAGATATCCTGGAGTGCTGCCAGTTCGTTTCGAGCGGACCGCGTTAATTTTTCCGACGAGTCTAATTAAGTCTCCCTTCCGCATCTCCTTCTCATCTCCTCTCGCTTCTCGTTTTCTCCTTCCTTCTTGATGCCGCTGGCATTCAACACTTAATACGACGAACGTGGAAGCCACGTAGCAACGCGATTATCGCCGAAACATCTGTAAACTCCCGGTATAACGACGATAATTGAATGCGCTGGCTGTCCCCTTCTCTTCCCTTTCGTTAGTGCAATGTGCACAAACGTATCCTCGCGTACGTCCCATGCATTACGCATAATTAATCCGACGATGCTATCTTCTCTAACCTTGTATCCGCGCGTTCATCGCGCGAATAGAATCGGCGATGCGCTATTCTCCTTTCATCAATGTTGCCCTTCCTTTTCTTCCTTGCAACGTACCGCAATGTTACGTACGATGTGCATGCGTGTGCCGATACGCAGTACACCGCGATAATCGCGATAAGCTCGATGACAACGCGATTCCCATCTCCGAGGTCGTCGCGGTCGAAGGGAGAAAGATCATTTATTAAAAAGGAAAGGGAAAGAAAAAGGATATATTTGCCCGACACAATCGAGCGAGTAGTAAGGCGACTATATCTTTTTTTTTTTTCCTTTAATACTATTTCGCCGCGGATTTTTCAGATCGGTAATCGAACGCTTGGAAAGAATTCCCAACGACGTACTTCGCGGTGAACCTTCGAACGTTCTTGGAAATGCTTTTATCGTTTCCGAGCTATCGCCATGTTCCAGCTCTCGAGTTATAGAAAAAAAAAAAACGTTCAAGTGCAGCAAGATGCTTCCCGTTGACACCAAAATTATATACCAAAAAATATAGAAATAATAATAGAGCAAGTCATTTACTGGAATAAAATACTTATCGAGACGATTTGCTTGTAAAATGTTCTCGTAAAATGTTGAAGGAATACTAATTTTCAAGATATAGTATTTTTGTATCTTTATTCTTCAATTTTAAATTTCTAAATCTTTATATTTTTGTTACGATATTTTTATTGAAAATCTTGCGATATTTTAAAATATACGCGAGAATCATGTACTGAAAAATATTTCTTTATTGAAAAAAAACTTATTTGTGTAAAAAATATTTTTTTTATTATGAAAAAGATAAAAACAAACTCTTTACGACACAAAATCACATTCAATATTATCCATTATTAATATTTTAATTCAAGAAATATTTTTCAAAAAAAATTATTAGTAAATTTCAATTCCCTAAAATTCAAAAAGATTTCGTACTTTGGAAATGGAATCATTGCAAAGAGCGATCTAAAATATAATAATTATATTAACATATTTCTGGGATCCCTCATAACAATTTTCCAAAAATTTTCCAATTTCCCAAAATTTATAAATGAAGACACTTGTAGCATTTCACATTATTTTATGATCCTTAAACTATAATGACAGAATGTCAGAAGTAATTTTCTATCATTTAATCGCATTATTAACACCTTGACGAACGTAATTATAGCGACGAAAGTTATTTAACATTATTTCTCACATAAAATTTCAGTAAACGAAGGACGCATCCTGTGTCGTACTTAGAACATAATAAATAATTCAATAATAATTTCCACATCCCGTCGGACTGTGTCAGGACGAGAGAAGTGACGCGCCGCCGTCGCTGTGCCGCCACCACCACCGCCGTCGCCCGGATGAAAACATAAATCTACATATTATTAAAGCAGCGGCGATCAAAGCGATCGAAATAATGCAGATTATCAGAAAACGCCGGTGCTGCAGCAATTTCTGCAGGCACTTAAAATCATTTCGACGCCTCTCGCCGATGAATATTGAACAGCCACGCACCTGCCGGCCGCCTCTCCCCTTTCCAATCACTCGTCTCCCCTTCATCCCCTCCGGCCATCCCCGTCTCCCGTTTCGCAATGATTTCGAGCACGAACTCGTCCATCATTGACGATCCCCCGCGCAAAATGATGCTCGCAATGAACTGTGCGATTGCGAGAGCACAATGAGCAAGGGAGAATCAAAATTATTTGTTGAAAATCACATTATCGCGTCGGCGGAGATACAGTATATATACGTGACCGCGACCTCGCGAGTTTCAATTTTACACTCAGGCGCATTTTAATGCACACCGCGCAAAGCCCGGGGCACCGATCGGCGCGCAATTAAAAATAATTGACGACGACAACGAGCCGATG